TGTGATCCCAGTGTGTGATCCCGATGTGTGATCCCGGTGTGTGATCCCGGGGTGTGATCCCGGTGCGTGATCCCGGTGTTGCAGGAGCAGCTCCAGCAGGGAGAGCTCCATCCAGCCCCACACGGGCAGGGGGAGCAGAGGGATGGGGTGGTGTGGGGCAGGGCAGTACCTCTCTGACATAGACCTCCATGAAGCCAGAGATGAACCCATCCTCCTCCAGGGCGATGATGAGGTCGACGCCGGAGACGAAGGAGAACACCACGAACACTGGGGGGGGGAGCCAGGGCAGCTCTGCCAGGGGCCCACGGCTCCTCCCCAGATCCCAAATCCCAAACCCCACAGCCTGGGAGGGGGGCTCTCACCACAGAACAGGGGGTCCTGGAAGTGGCTCACGCCGCTGACGAGGAGGATGATGGAGAAGAGGCCGAGGAGCACCAGAATCACCGTCAGCAGCAGCAGTGGGGGGTTGCTGTGGAGCAGAGGGGGGGCTCAGCACCAGGCACAGCCCAGGGGTGAAGCCCCATTTCCCCCCTGCCCACGGGAAACGCTCCTCACCCCCCCTGATCTTTAGGGTCAGGATCAGGCCCCGCACCCCAGGGGGGGGTCCCGGCGCTGCCCAAACTCTGAGAGGGGAAAACGGCTCCTCTGGGGTCTGAAACAACCCCGGGGGGGTGAATCCCAAAGGAAGGGAGGAACCTGACATTCCAGCAGGGTGGGGAAGGGGCTGCCTTGGCAAGGCTCCTTTTCCATGCAAACTCCAACTGGTTCATTCTCCTCCAATTTCCAGCCCCCAGGACCCTCCAGCTCAGGGCTTTCCCCTTGTGTTCCTCCATCTCTTTCTCCCCTTTCTGTCCTTCCCTTCCCACCAGGACCCTTCACCCTCCTTTTCCCATTCCTTGGGGATTTATTTCCACCCGCAGGAAGAGCTTTTAACCCAACTCTTCACCGCAGAGCTGGGGGCTCTCCTGGTCACCCTCTCAAGCTCTCCCCATGTTCATTCCCAACCTTTTCCATCCCCTCCCATCCCTGCTGCAGCCCAGATCTCTGGGATCCATCCCAGAGATCCCTGCCAGGGCAGGGAGCAGCCCCAGCAGAGCCCCCCCCCTCTCCAATCTGTGTCCAGACCAGGGAAATCAATAATAAACCAAAATCAAGGAGAGAGAGACTGAAAAAGTGTCCTGAGAGAGCGAAGAAGTTGTAGGGAAAACCATCCTGGGCAGCTGGAATTGCTCTCCCAGAGCCAGGAATTGGGACAGTGGCTGAGCAGGACTTTCCCCCCCAAAAAAACCATCCAAACCTTCCTGAAACACCCAAACCAGCCCAGATGCTCTTGGAAAAAAAAACCCCAAACCAATCAAATCACCGAAGTGTCGCCACCCCAGTGCATTATTGCCACTGTATAATTAGTTACTACACAACTAATTACTCCCACGGAATGATTCATTCAGGGTTTGAGCAGCACGGCACGAGGGCTCCTCCCGCTGCAGGATGCCCAGGGATGGATCCCAGAGATCTGGGCTGCAGCAGGGATGGGAGGGGATGGAAAAGGTTGGGAATGAACCCATGAAAGGTGGGGAGAGCTTTAGAAGGTGACCAGGAGAGCCCCCGGCTCTGCGGTGAAGAGTTGGGTTAAAAGCTCTTCCTGCGGGTGGAAATAAATCCCCAAGGAATGGGAAAAGGAGGGTGAAGGGGCCTGGTGGGAAGGGAAGGACGGAAAGGGGAGAAAGGGATGAAGGAACACAAGGGGAAAGCCCTGAGCTGGAGGGTCCCGGGGGCTGGAAATTGGAGGAGAATGAACCAGTCAGAGTTTTCACGGAAAAGGAATAAAGTGGTTGAGGAAGGGAAGGGGCTCCTGGATCTCCAGGGGGCGGGTCCCAAACGCCCTGGATGCCCGGCCGGGATCACGAGGGTGTCACCGGGCAGGAAAACCGAAAGCGGGGCCGTTCCCGGTTGTTGTGACAGCGGCGGTGACCGGGAGGGTGCGGGGGGTGACATCGGCCACGCCGGGACACGTCAGCGGGGACGCTCCGGGAGGGGAGCGGGGCGTGGAGGGGTCTCCAGAGCCGGGATCACCCCAATTCCAGGGGGTCTGGGGGGCGAGGAGCCCCGTTCTGCTCCCCAAAGGGCCCCGCTGTGTCCGACCGGGGTTGGAAAGGCAGCGAGGCGGCCACGGAACGCGCCGGGAAATCCCCCCTGGATTGAGCCTCGGGAAACTCCCCCATGGATTGAGCCCCGATCCAGGACAGATCCAACCCCCTGTCCCAGACAGGAACCTCCTTGATCCAGGACAGATCCAGCCCCCTGTCCCGGGATGGACCCCACGATCCGGGATGCCCTCCCTGTCCCAGGACAGCCCCAGCCCCCCGCCCAGGACACGCTCCCTCTTCTCCAGCTCCGGGTGGGACCCTGGGACGGGCCCCCTGTCCCGGGCGGGATGGATCCCACCAGTCCCGGACGGAGCCGTGTCCCGGGACAGCCCGGACTCTCCCCCAGCTCCCGGCCTGGTCCCGTCACCCCTCCCCGAGCAGGACCCCAACCCCCCGAGCCCGGGGGTCCCCCGCACTCACTCCGCCAGGGCGGTGGCGCCGGTGATGCCGAAGGCCACGGGGATGGAGAGCAGGGGGGCGGCCAGGGCGCCCGGCCCCGCCGGGAGCTGCATCCCCGGCCCCGCCGCCGCAACCGAGCCCGCGGACTTCGCCCCGACGGCGGGGACAGAGCCCGGGCAGCGCCCTTAAAGAGCCAGGGCCGCCCCGGGGGGGACAGCGGGGACCGGGGAGGGGGGGACAGGGGGAGGACGGGGGGGGGTGGGGAAGGACAGGGGGGCTGGGGGAGGACAGGGGGTCACAGGGGGAAGGACAGGGGGTCTAGGGAAGGACAGGGGGTCTGGAGAAGGACAGGGAGTCTGGAGGGAAGGACAGGGGGAAGGACAGGGGGTCTGGGGAAGGACAAGGGGGCTGGGGAAGGACAGGAGGTCACAGGGGGAAGGACAGGGGGTCTGGAGGGAAGGACGGGGTCACAGGGGGAAGGACAGGGGGTCTGGAGAAGGACAGGGAGTCTGGAGGGAAGGACAGGGGGTCACAAGGGGAAGGACTGGAGGTCCTGGAAGAAATGAAGGTCAAGGGTCCCACGGGGAGGGACGGGGGTCCCGAGGTGAGGAAAGGGGGTCCCGGAGGAAGGACGGGGGGTCCTGGGGGGAAGGACAGGGGGTCCTGAGGAGGGGAACCCCCCCGGCTGAGCACGGGCGGCTCCGTGCGGGGGTCGCTGTCTCTGCACTCAGGGGCTGCCTCGAGAAACAGCTCCGAGGGCTGCGGGGAAGGAGAAAACCACTCTGAGAGGGCTCTGAAAACTTCAGAACGGCAGGTTTGGGGGTTTTGTTGTTGTTTGGGGGGGTTTTGTTTGTTTGGGGTTTTTTGTTTTGGTTTGGGGTTTTTTTTTGGTTTTTTCTCTTTCGCTTTTCCAATTCATCCTTGGAAATCTTAAAAAAAAGAGCCGAGAGGACGCGGCGGCTCCTCGGACCGGCGGGAGGGGGAGGGAGGGAGCGGAGCTGATGAGAGGCAGCGCTTCATCCCCGCCTGGAACGAGGGAGCAGGAGCTGCAGCCCCGACCCCCTCCTCTGCTCACACCCCACCCCTGACCCCCCGGCACGGCCGCGCCGAGCTGGGAACGGAGGGAAAACCTCCCGGAGCACTTTTATCAGCCCTCCCTCCTGAGGCGGCCGCTCAACCTTTCCCCTCCCTCATAAAACTGTCACCGAACGTGTCACCGGGTCACTGCTGCGCCCTCGTGCTCCGGAGTCCGGGGGCTGAACCCGCACTTTGCCCCGGGCTCGGTCCCGGTTCCCCCGGGGAGGAGCTGGAACAGCACAGGAAGAGGGGAATGACACGGGAATTCCAGCAGGGAACACGCCCGGGGAGCAGAGGGGGTTCAGACTCGGGGCTGGGGCTGAAGAAACCACCCGGTTGTGCAGGAAAAAGGCACAAAAAGCAGCACAACAGCCCAAAAAAGGGGCCAAAGTGGGTGATTTGAGGTGTTTTGCTGCAATGACCTTCAGCTCCTCCCAAACACCGAACCCTCCCTGCAGGGATGGGGAGGGGGGGCTCAGGGAGGGCCCAGGCTGGGGAAATAAAGGGATCAAACCACTTTTGCCAACTGAGACATCCATGGGATGCACAGGGCTGGCTGAAGTGTCCAGTCAGCTTTAAATGCCCACCGGGAACAGCAAGAATTCCCAGGGATTCCACGCCCCCGGTGCCAGAATCCTGCTGTGCTGAGGACACTTTGGAATGAAAGTGGTTCTGGAAACACCTCCAGGCTCCCACAGAAAGCCCAGGAGAGCCCTGGGGTTTCTCCAGCCTCTGGTCATCCAGGAAAAGCAGCTTGTGCCAGGCAGGAATAGGGAGGGCACAGAGCAGAGGGGTGTCCCAGCCCCCTCCCAGGTTGGCACAGCGACCTCAATCCCTGGCAGATTTCCCACCTGGACTTCCCAATCTTCCCAAATTCCTGACTGGAACGCCACGGGCAGCACCAGGCCCAGCTCCAGGCTCCCACATCTTGGATTCTCTCGGAATAAAACCCCCCTGAACCCACTGCACGGACCACTTGGGGTGTTTTTATTGAGAGCCAAGTCCTCCACTCGAGGTCGTTCAGGGAAGTCAAACAATCACCCCCCAAAGTGTTCAGAGAAGGAACCAAATCAACCCACTCCAAGTTGGTTTTCCCCGAAATCCTTGGAAGAAAGAGCTCCAGAGCAACCTCCCAACCTCGGCAAACCCACAGGAGCCCCCTCTCTTCCCGAAAATCCTCCCATTAAAACTAAGGAACAAACGAGTTTTATTTTATTTACAGACTCGATGAAGAAAATTCATATTTCAGAGGTTCTTTTTTTTTTTTTTTTAAATGACAACAAAACCCCAAATAAATGGCCTTTGACAAACTGTGGTTGAGGGTTTGGTTCCTCTTCTTCCTCCTCCCCCTCCAAAGCACGGGAGGGGTGTTGTTGGCAAGTCTCTGGTTGTGCCAGGGGGGGAACGTAGTGCTCAGAAAACGAGGGGTTGGGACCCCTGGGGTTGAGTGAACTCACCCTGCACCCCCTTTAAAATCCTGGAATTCATGATCCAGCCCCGTGCAGAGGGAAAACAGAGGCACTGGGGTGCAATGTCAGCTGGAGGTCACACCTCTGGCACCGTCAGAACAACGTCCTGACCCTGCTCTGGGAGGGCACAGAGTCCCTTGGGTGGGAGATTTAAACATAAAATTGAGGGGAAAACAAAAAAAAACAACCCCAGAGCAGCACAAGCTTCGAGTCTGGACAGTAAAAGACCAGCTGTTATCCCAAAAAAACACCCCCACGCTCCTTGGAAGGCGGGAGCAGGGATGGGGAGTGCCCTGAACTCCTCCCGGGGGATCTTTGGTGCTGCCCTTGCCACGTTCCCTCCCCGAAAACCCCCTGTCCCGAAAAACCCCCGTGGGGGCACCTGGGAGGGCTCCCAGGCCTTTCCCCCGGGATGAGGGGGGTGCTGTGGCCTCGGGGAGTTGGGACAATACCGGGAAAGAAGGGATGGATGAAGCGGTTCCGTAACATTTCACAGTCAGGGAGCAAAACTCTTCTGTTCCCTGGAGCCTCCTCAGTAATAGGGTCGCCGTGGGTTGTTCTGTGGGGAAGGAGCAGGAGAAAACCCATCAGAAAACCCATCACAATTGGGGGTTTTTGCCCAAAAAACCCCCAATTTGGGGGTGAGCTCGACCACCCTCCAAAAGCCGCTGAAAATGTGTCATTTCTGCACTGCAAACCTGAGGTTTGCCCCAAAATTACAGCTTTTGAGGTGTCCTTGTCCCTGCCCTGTTTTTGGGACCCTCCCTCGCCAGTGGATCTCTCCCTGTCCTTTCCCTGTTCCCTGCACTCTCCCCCACCAGTGGATCTGTCCCTGTTCCTGTCCTGTTTTTGGGACTCTCCCTGCCCCTGGATCTATCCCAGTGCCATTCCTGGTCTCTCCTTCCCCCCTGGATCTCTCCCAGCCCTGTTCCTGGTCTCTCCCTGCCCCCTGGATCTTTCCCAGTGCCATTCCTGCTCTCTCCCTGCCCCTGGATCTATCCCAGCCCTGTTCCTGGTCTCTCCTTCCCCCCTGGATCTCTCCCAGCCCTGTCCCTGGTCTCTCCCTGCCCCCTGGATCTCTCCCTGCCCCTGGCTCTCTCCCTGCCCTGTCCCTGGTCCCTGGCAGCCCCTGGATCTATCCCAGCCCTGTCCCTGGATCTCTCCCTGCTCCCAGATCTCTCCTAGCCCTGTTCCTGGTCTCTCCCTGCCCCCTTGATCTCTCCCTGCCCCTGGATCTCTCCCGCCCTGTCCCTGGTCTCTCCCTCGTCCCCGGACCTATCCCAGCCCTGTCCTTGGTCTCTCCCAGCTCTGTTCCTGGTCTCTCCCAGCCCCCTGGCTCTCTCCCAGCCCTGTCCCTGGTCCCTGGCAGCCCCTGGCTCTCTCCCATGCCCAGTCTGGGTGCCCCCTCACCAGGGGGTTGGGTCGGAAGCGATAGGCCAACATCATCCTCTTGCGGAAGGCCTCGTACTCATCATCCTCCTTGGTGAGCTCAGCGGGGCGGTCGATCCCAAATCCAGCCCCATCCACGGCCGTGGTTCCCCTGGGTGGGAAGAGGGAGGGAAGGGAAGCAGGTGAGTGAGAGCTCCTTCCCCCAGGAACATCCTGCTGCCGTGGAATTCATCCTGCTGCCGTGGAATTCATCCTGCTGCCGTGGAATTCATCCCGCTGCCGTGGGGTTCATCCCGCACGGAGCCGCTCCAGGATCCACGTTCCCGGATCCCCTTCCCGGATCCAGGAGGTCTGTTGTTGTCACATGGAAGCAGGAATGCCCACAGGGAGCAGGAGCAGGAACATCTCCCTCCCTGGAGGGGCAGGGATGGGGTAACCACATTCCTGCCTCCTGCTCCTTCGCTCCAGTGGGATCAATTCCTTCCCTCCCCAGCAATTCCGAGATGGTCCACGGCCACATCCCGCCTTCCCTCTGGGAATCTGAGCCTGGCTTTTCCCACCTTTTACCCCAGGCAACACCTCTGAACCAACAACCACATCCCCAGAGCTCTGCATGGACGTTTCCTGCCATGCAGCAAACAGGGAACTTATTCCCACCGGGATCCATCCCTAAAAACCAGCTCAAGGAGTGTTCCCCCTCCCCAATATTCAGTTTTGAAGCCCAAATATGTCACCAACAGATGATTCCACCCAAAAAGAGACACTCTGCCACTCCCAGAGCTGTGTAACACACAGAGTGTCATCAAACCAGGACATTTCTGGGCACAAAGAGCCAAGTCAAGGCTTGTCAGGACCCCCCAGAGCTCTGAGCTGGGCTGAGAAACCCCTCACACCCAGTTCTGCCTGGGTTTTGCTCTTTAACACTTTGAGAAATTTATGCCTTTAAAGACTTAACCCTGGAGGGAAGGGAGAGCCCAGAAGAAAGCAGGAATTCCCTCCTGTGCCCAAGAATCCCCACGTGACGCATCCCGGGGCAGGAACATCGACCCCGAGCCCGGGGAGGGAAGGAGGGAAGGGACTGAAGGACTGAAGGAGGAGAAGCAGAGCTGTGCTTACTTGCTGACGGGGTTCTTGATGCCCTGCCCCTCTGATCCCAGCCCCTCTCCTTCCTTCCAGCCCATCTTCATGAGCATCTGGTAGCCGATGTTCTCCACGGTCAGCTTGAACTCCTTGTACTCCGAGTAATCCGGCTCCCGGCCCTCCTGCAGGGGCACAAAAGGAGCCTCTGTTTTCCTGGGGGTCGTTTCCCACTCTGGGAAGGGGAAAAGCAGCTCCAGGCACCCAAAGCCAGGCTGGTTTTTTGGCCAATAACCCCCCAGGATTTCTCAGGATTCCGGCTCTGCAGCAGCACAGAGGAGGGAATCAGGCCCTCCTGGAGCTGCTGGGATATCAGGTTAGGGAGTGATTAGCTCCTGAATTTTAAGTTGCTCGATGGATCAAGTTGCAGATCCAGCTCTTATTTAAGCCTGAGCCCTCCAGGGAACGTCGGGCCCCACGCTGGATGGAGGGAAACGGGGAGGGATGTGCCAACATCAAGGAGTTCTGGGCTTTGGGAAGAGTTGGCAGGTACTGGAGTGCTTTGCATAAGCTCTTTGCAGGCTTTGTGTTTCCACTTTGCTGCAATCATCTGGATAAAAATTCAAATTTCCCTTGGCTTGGCATCTGCAACCACTTATCCCAAACAGGAACTGCAGGAGGGTGGTCTGAGAGCTTTTGTCTGGAATTCCAGAGACCCCCAAAAACTGCTGGATGGTGGAATGGTTTGGGTTGGGAGGGGCCTTAAAGCCCACCCAGTTCCACCTCCTGCCAGGGGCAGGGACACCTTCCACTGGACCAGGGGTGCTCCAACCTGGCCTTGGACACTTCCAGGGATGGGGAATCCTCTGGGAAATCCATTCCAGGGCCTCCCCACCCTCACAGGGAAGGATTTCTTCCCACTATCCCATCTAATCTCGCCCTCTGGAGCTCTCCAGGCCCTTGTCTCCAGCTCTCCCAGAGCCCCTTCAGGTGCTAGAAGGGGCTCCAAGGCATCCCTGGAGCCTTCCCTTCTCCAACCCGGCCTTGGAAGTGCTGCCACCACCCCAGGAAGCCTCTGCTGCGTCACCTTCAGCGCCTTGAAGGTCTCCATGAACTTCTCCAGCTCGTCGGGCGGGAGGAAGTCCCCGATGAAATGTTTCCCTCTGCCCATCTGGGTCAGCTGCTCGGCCCACTCTGCCAAGAGACCAGAGGAAACAGGGATAGCAGGGCGTTCTTTGGGGTCTCAGGGGGGCTGTGGAGCACAGGGATGGACATTTGTCACCCCCACTCAGGGAAGAGTGACCCTGCAGCTCCCGATCCTGCCGTGGGAAGTGGGAGATCCCCCCGGGGAGGGCCCTGAGCCACCCACCTCGTGTCTTGTCCATCTCCATGCGCCTCAGCTGGTGCTCCCAGGTGCCCAGCTCGCTGTCCACCTCCTCGTCGCTGTCGTAGCCGTGCTGGTGCTGCTGGATGGCCTTTTCCCACATCAGCTGCATCTCCTGCATGGCCCGTTTGTGCTTCATGATCATGTCGTACATCTGCTGCATCTGCGGGGGCACCGAGAGCTCAGAGCCCTGCCCTGCTCAGAACCCTGCCCAGAGCCCTGCCCTGAGCCCTGCCCAGCTCAGAGCCCTGCCCAGAGCCCTGCCCAGCTCACAGCCCTGCTCAGAACCCTGCCCAGAGTCCTGTCCTGCCCAGAGCCCTGCCCTGAGCCCTGCCCAGCTCACAGCCCTGCCCTGCCCTGAGCCCTGCCCTGCCCAGAACTCTGCTCAGAGCCCTGCCCTGCCCAGAACCCTGCCCTGAGTCCTGCCCTGCTCAGAGCCCTGCCCTACTCAGAGCCCTTCCCAGAGCCCTACCCTGCTCAGAACCCTGTCCTGCTCAGAACCCTGCCTTGCCCAGAGCCCTGCCCTGAGCCCTGTCCTGCTCAGAGTCCTGCTCAGAGCCCAGCCCAGCCCCCCAAAACACAGCCCAGGGCAGCCCCACACCCCCCAGGGGAGAGCTGCTGCTCCCCCTCCCCTCAGACAGCACATCCCTGGGCTGGTTCCTCCAGGATATTCCCACTCTTCCCCTGAGCATCCCCAGCCCGCTCCAAGAGCCACTTCTGCTCCCACCCCCCCCCCAAATCCTGCAGGAACCCCCTCATTTCCCCCCCCCTCCACTGCTGAGCAGCCCTGATCCAGCTGCAGCTGTGACACCACAGACCTTATAGATTTTGGGTTTAGGTTGGGAGGGCAGCAATTGGCTGCTTCCACCCTTATTCCCCAAAGCCCTGGGCTGTTCCTGCTGACTGCAGCATCCCTGTGCTTCCCAGGCATCCAGCACAAATCCCACAGATTTATTTGTGGCTGCTGCAAAAGATTTCTTTTTGCTCCCCACCCCCCCTCCACCTCCCAGGAATTTTGGGAACCGTTTCGGGGTTTCACCTCCTGCTGCTCCTTCAGCTGCTTCTTCTGGGCCTCGGAGAGCTCAGTCACCCCCACCAGCCCCACGGGCTTCCCCTTCTCGTAGCCAAGGCCCTTCAGGTCCTGAACTGTGACAAACAGGGGTTAAAAGGCTCGTTAGAAACCTGAGAGACCAGCGAGAGCAAATCCCAAACCCTGGTTTGGGCTGGAAGGGACCCGAAGGATCACCCAGGGACAGCTCCCACCAGAGCTCCCACCCCAGGGATGGGGGTGTTTTCAAGTTTTTACACTCATTTCATGGTTCCAGCACTGGAGAGGCTCGATCCAGAAGGATTTGGGAGCCCCAGGAGCAGGGAGGTCACCGGGCAGCAGCTCCTTTGCCTCCCTCATCCTGTGCCCAGAGGTGTTGGGAGATTCCCAGGGGGGGTCACACCGTGTGGAAATCTGCTTTAAAAATCCCTTCTCCTTAAGATCCTTCTCCCCAGAAGGCTCCTGGTGAACCCCAACCATCCCAAAAAGTGATAATTCATCATCCAAGTGGAGCCATGAGCGATGGGAGCTGTCGGCCCGGGACTCCCAACAGCAACTCCTCCCCAAATGAAAAGCAAATTCCCACATCAGAACAAAATTCCCACATTATCCTGCCCTTGGAAGGTGCCATTCCCCAGGGAGGTTTCAGTGTCCATCTCCAGGCTCAGGAGTAGCACCTCCAGGGATGTCACCCCTGCTCTCACAGAGGGGCACTTTTTCCCACAGCATCTCCTGTTGGAAGTTCCCCCTCTGGAATTTTTTCTGCTGTTTCATCAGCTGAACCCCTGAAATTAGATCTTCCCATTCCCTGGGCAGGGCACTCAGTGATTTGAGGTGACCATACGAGGCTCAGAAAGCAAGTTAAAGGGAATAAAGGAGAAGGGGAAAGGAATCCTATTTATAAAGGGCTGCAGCAGTGAAGGGAAGTAATAAAAACACTGCTGGGGCTTCAAAAAAAAAGAGATTTCCAGGAGAGATTGCCTTGCAAACTTGGTTCATGTATCTCCAGCAGGGCTGGCAGCTCCTCTCCAAAGCACTTCAGAGCTCAGATGCCACCGGTTAAAATATTTAAGGGCTCTGAAAGAAGCCTCAGAGCCCAAAGAAGCCTCAGAGCTGCATTTTTCAATAGGAGGGGAAGGATTTCTTCCTAACGACCTGCCAAGCCCCGTGTGTGTGTGGGAGAGCCCAGTTAAGCGATGCTTCATTCATTATTCACGATCTATTAATTATGAAGCCCCAATTAGAAGAGGATCGTTGTTCAGGCCCCGGGGGTGGGGTTGGGGCGTCTCCCTCCCTCCAACTCCTGCTCAGGGCACTTGATTTGAGCACTCTGAGCCCCTTCCCCTTCCCCACGGGTCTCCAGGTGGTTTCCTGAACTCCAGGAGTTCCTGAACTCCCCCCTCCCCAAGCTCCAGGCCCTGCACACTCCTGACATAAAGAGGTTTTCCAGGAGCAGGGATGGAGTGTGGCGCTGGGAATTGCACTGTCAGCTCCCAAGGAATGGGAGCAGACAGGAGAATAAACCTATTTTTTGCTGATAGCCAGCCTGGTTCCTGCCTGGGGGAGCAGGGGGAGCTGGGAATGGGTTTGATGGACACGTGGGCACTCCGGCATCACCTCCTGGAAACCTTTCCCTGAGTGCTCCAAGGAAAACTCTGCCCTTCACAGAGGTCACAGCAGCTCCCTCTGAGCTGCAGGAACACCCAGCTGGGAGCTCCAGAGGCTCCAGAGCCTTCCCAGCAAACCTTAAAGGTGAGGCTGAGCATCCTCCTCCTCCCCCCTTCCCAGGAATGAGATCCCGCTGCTCCTTCCCTTCCCAGGAATGAGATCCCACTGCTCCTTCCCTTCCCAGGAATGAGATCCTGCAGCTCCTTCCCTTCCCAGGAATAAGATCCCACTGCTCCTTCCCTTCCCAGGAATGAGATCCCACTGCTCCTTCCCTTCCCAGGATTGAGATCCCATTGCTCCTTCCCTTCCCAGGAATGAGATCCTGCCGCTCATTCCCTTCCCAGGAATGAGATCCCACTGCTCCTCCCCTTCCCAAAACCACCCCCCCCCGGGCTGTCTGACTGCTCCAGGGCTGTCTGACTGCAGGAATTCAGCCCCGGGGAGGTGTTTTTTTTGTGCCCTCAGCCCAGGCAAAGTTGGGAAAAAAAAGGCAAAAGCTCCACCCCGAGCTCCGTCTGCAGACGGAAAAGTGTCCATAAACACCACCAAGGAATTTGCATGGAGATAAGTAAGATTTATAAGCTCCCCCAAGCTTTCTGGCACCAGGTAAAACAGTGCAGAAGACAAGGAGCTCAGGTTCAGCAGGGTTTGGGGGAAAAAAAATCTCTTTTTTTTTTTTTGGCCTGGAGTGACATCAGCTTTGCCCACGGGGTTAATGGTGCAGTGTGTCTGCAGCGTTGGCAGAGCAGCACCCAGAGCTTTATCCCTCTCCCAGATGCCTGAGGAGCAGCAGCTTGTCACAGGAGAAGGGAACAACATCCTTGGAGAAACCCCAGCTCAGGAGAGCTTCCCTCCTTCCCAGCCTGGAGATCTTAATCCAGGCTAATCAGACCCAAAGCCGGGTTTCAGGAGGTTCCAGTGACATCCTGTGATTTGTCATTGACCCTCCCAGAGTTCACCAATCACACATCCCTGGCTCAGCTTTTGGGATCCATCAGCCAGGGATCAAGCCAGGTTTGGGTGTCAATATATTTAAGAGGAGTCTTGTCTCTCTCTCTCTCTCCAGAAAAGGCCACACATTCTCCTCTCCACCCTCCTGATTTATCACCCAGGGAGGACAGGAAGAGAATCCTCCCCCAAATCCAAAACAATTGCTGAGGATAAAGGAACTAAGACACGGACATTTAGGTACCAGAGCAGCTCTCCCCTTCCACAGGGGCAGCAATTTGCAGCTCCCTTCACCTGTCAGGTCCAAGCTGTTAATTCCAAAAGGGATTAGTCCAGCTGAACTGATAGCAGGAATTAATCCTTCCCCCTGCAGAGCATTAAGAGCTGATTTGTTCTGCCTGGCAAAGTGGCTGCTTGTCCTTTTCTCCTGCCTGACACAAAGCCCTGAGCAAAAGCAGCAGCACCAGGAGTGTGTCCCTGTCCCATGGGGGGGGGAAGTGAAGGAGCCAGGGGAATTCCAGCACATGGATACCCCTGCAGCACCCCCCCTGCAGCTCTGAGAGCCCCTGCTCAGCTTCATCCCTGTCTGCAAGGGAAAATTACTGGAAATACAACCACCAGGAGAGATTTCTGCATGTGATTCCTGCCCTGCAAGGAGCAGCAACCCCAGGCCAGTGACTCTCAGAGGCACAGCCAGGATTCCTGGGCAGGGCACAGTCACCAGGAACTCCCCTCCACCTGCTTTGGAGGTGCTGGATAAGGGGCAGGAATCCCTCCTTCCTCCTCTCTGAGCAGGCCCAGGGTAGCAGAGCCCACCCAGCCTGATCCCAGGATTAATGCTGAGCAGCAATTCCAGCCCCAGGAGCAGTGCCGGGGACTTGCTGGAGAAACAAACTGCAAATTAACTGAAAATTAGAGCTTTTTGCATCCCTTGTCCCACTCCATCGGTTCTGCTGCTGCTCTTTCAAAAGGTCCTTCTTGCTCTTCCACCCTGGGGCCATTAATCCTCTCAATTTGCCTCATGGCTTCCCTTTCTTCTCCCCATCTCCCTTCCCATTCCAGGCTAATTGGGCAAAGATGCCTTTGGAAGTGTCTGTGTTCACCTGTGACTGGTTCTGTGCCCTCCCCAAGTACCCAATTACTGCTCTGCACAGGCTCAGCCTCCAGAGCTCCCCAGAAGTGCCTCAGCTGGAGGGATGATATTCCAGCACTTGGAATATCCC